TATATATATATTCCAGAGACAATGTCTGGATTAAGACAATTGTGATAACGTACAAGTACGAGTATTTCAAAACACTAGTAATCATCAATCAATCAAACAAACGATGACTTTTTGATATAGTCTTTTTTTGTTTTAGCTTCAAAGTGTCTAAGTTTAACTTCAGCATTCAAGGTTCAGACAACTTCTTTTTTCTGTACCTCTGGCTTTAGATTTTTCTTGAATTTTGTGATTAATAATAGTTAAAACACCCACAAAGGCTACAAACTTTGGAACAACACCACTGCTCACATGCTGTAAGTCCCAGAGAAAGTTGACAGCTGGTTGTGAGGTGAGGGTTAAATAAATTCATTACTTTTCTCACACTGGACTTTGGATTTTATCTTGTACATATGTTCTGCCAAGATTTATTATTGTATTGCGGCTTAGAGGAAGCTGGGTTTTTAATTTTACTTGTGGCTAAGAAATGACTTGGAAGAAACTTTGACTCTGAGCTGAAGTTATAGTTGGCTGGCTTTTAAGAGAATGTGATCAACATCACACTTGTCTGCGTGCCATTTGCTTGTCATGAGAACAAAAAAGTCTTATTTGTAGAGCTGCTTACTGCAAAGTTGATGCCTAAAGAAAGTGACAGACGTATTTAGAGAAGAATAGTTTTAAAAAATGCATTCACGTTTTGATAAAATCTAGTAAATTTATTGGCAGAGAAACTGGACCTTTGTTCAAAGTTTCCAATCCAGAGACACCTGGATAATGAAGAAACCCAGAAGAAATCCACCAGCCATCTGATAACAGTATTATTGATGAGTTCTGTTCTCGCAAACATTTCTGTATGAGACAGAAGCACTTCTGAAAGTCATTACTTCACATTTTATTCTTATTCTTTTTGAAAATCTATAAATGTATTGGTTTGTTAATGAAATAATGAACACGCTGAGGATGACTCTCAGCTATTACCACACCAAATTTACCCCAGTATCTGTAGAAATGACTGACATCTACACATTTCAAAGACAATTAGCCATCTTGAATTAGTTGAACTTAAAATGATTGAGTTTTAACATTATATTTTGTGAATGCTTTCTGAAAGTTTCACCACAGTTTGTCTGGTGGTTAATGAGATTTGCTAACACAGACAGCTGACTTCAGCATAATAAAAAAAAACACGTTAGGTTGGTTGGGTGATTAGCACTCGGAGGATGGGTTTGAATTGACTCTAAGCTAGGAACGTATCTAAGTTGAGTTTTAATATCTTTAACAGTGGCTGAGTTTGTTTATCTGTAGCAGCCATCTTGAATTTGCTTGACTCAGTTGCAGATATTCCTCCAATTAATTGTTTCCTAGAGTTCCATTAAGATCTATCAGTTGGTTTGTGAGATATTTTTCTAACACTGCAGACAAACAAGCACTGATTCTGGGGTTTTGGGTTCAAGCCCAGGCTGCATCAGGAAGGCATGTGAAACAATTTCCAAATCGTTCTTACGCTGTGGCCACCCCTGCAGAATGCAACAGCCACAAGGAAAAACAACAACAAATGACAAACAAACAAGCACAGACAGAAGCAAAAATCATATTACCTCTTTGCCTTCAGTCGAAAGCCTTAAAGGGACAATATTATGTATTGTGTGTTTCGCATATATTTAAATACCATACCATAACAAAGTATCTATGTCACCTTTAGTTGTCATTAAAATGCTGTTTTTATGTTTAAATAGAAAATAAACTTGTCATCACTTCCTCTTCTAAACGCCTTGAAATTGGCCTTTGTCTTTTTAACCACCTTCCGCTTCTGTCCCGTACATTTCAGTGCCGACGGGTGTGGTGGGGTGGGTGTTTCGCGCGTGCACTATATGATGCAGTTTACTTGGCATCTGAAAATACATTTCCTCAAAGGTATTTTGAATCTGAAAAGAGCTTTACTGAGTGAGAAGTAATGCKAAGAGCAGCAGACCGTTTCACTTTCACTTTCACTCGTTTGCTTTGTTACTGCCGAGAGCCTGCAGGGGTCATGGGCGGGGTGTGTGGGGTGGGGAGGTGTGCTCCGTGATGAGGAAGCTCGAGACACAACCCAGAGGCGTTTCTGGTCCCCACCTGTCGTTTTGCTCCTCAGCATGGTTTCCTAAAAACTCTGCAGGATTTCTCAAACATGCATGAATGAGTCAGAGCAATTCTTTTGGCATGTTTTTTTTATGAGAGTATAACATTATAACATGATATAGAACTCAAAAAAGTTGATCTTACACGATATTGCACCTTTGAAAAATTACACTGATATACTGCTGGAGAGCTTATTGCCTTTGCGACTCGTGGAACCCCATAAACTCCTTTACTATTCTGCTTTTAGAAAATTCTTCTGGTCTTGGATAAAATGCTGACATGTGCTCAGAGAATTGAATGATTTTGTTCATCTTTTATTGATTATTAGTATAAAAAACAGCCTGCTGGCTACAYGTCTCACCAAAACTCATCACTCTTATTTATGATCATTCCTTTTCAAATATACCAYGACCATGTGCATCACTTGGTCAAATAATTAATAATTGGACTAGTTGTGCCAAAGTAACCAAAGCTTGGAATGAAGGTTGCTAAACTTTCCGTGGCTTGAAATAAAATGGCAGAGAGGCAATCGAAGGTGTTTATGGTGCTTGTAATTTTAACCCCATCAGTGTCAATCACTAAAAGTCAAAAACGTCTAATGGCCAGGTTTCTTAAACACACCAGCACTTCAGGGGTTATGTTTATTTATGAGGAACCGTAACAGGTGAGTTTTATTATCTGACATGTCTGCAAAGAGGCATCCATAAAATGCATTCAGCATGAAGCCAGGCACACCGCAGATTTGTTGCAATGCATTAAAATCGAACTTCTAACACCTTTTTGTCAGGACTGACAACCTTTGAACCACAACCTTATCAGGATGGTAGGGAAGTGCTCCTTGTTTTCTGTCTTCTCGTGCCAGGATTGCTGTAGGCTGTGTCAGATAAATGACTCTATTTTTTTATACTGTGTAGCATGTCAGGACAAATTGACATACTTGAAATACCAAATGAAGTGTATAGAAGACAAATGTTGCCAACATAATTTGACAGCAAAAAAGTACTAAATAACAATTTTACAAAAACGATTAATTTCCTTTGAGCTAAAATCAGAAGAAGGAGCAAAGAAAAGGACTTTACCTCCTGCTCATATTGAAAACATCATTACACCTTGCCCTCAAGAAGAGCTGATCTTGCTTTTGGATCTGTGGTTACAGATGGTTTCCAAGTGTTTGTGTACACATAAATTCTCACATTAACCACAAGAAAATACATTTAACATGAAAGGACTGGCATTCCTCGAAGGAATGCATATCATCCGCCACTTTACAAACCAGATTTGTAAATTATTACAGTAAACCCTCGAGTGTGAAAACAGCCGGGGTTAATTTTATTTGGGTGCTAAACTTTATAAATTGGTAAGACATGGAATGTATTGTTTTTTGTCTTGCTACAAAAATTGTAGTTAGGCTTAAGCTGCATATGTGCACTGCATGTAAGACACGTTAAAATCATATTCTGTTCAAATATTTGGTTAGATCACCCTATGTTGGGAAACAATGGAATTACAGCCATTTTGGTCAAAGCTTAAAATCAACAATATTCATAATCTCATTCAATATTGTGGTATCTTACATGAAATGTTAGTATTTAATCTGTAAACTATGCTGAAGTAGCTGCTTTCATGATTGAGTAGCTGTGGCCACCTTTTATAATTGGTTTGACTTCAAAAGTTAATCAGTTGTAAGTGTCAATACAGTGGACTGCGGGAGGAGGCAGAACAAAGACGAAGCGACAGGCAGGATGTCAGCAGCACTGCAGGGATTCAATCAGACACAGGCAGCAGGCCGGCTGACATATTTTGACATGTTGATGAGAAAAAGCCGCTCGTCTGTGATTTCATCTTTTATCCCAAATGACGAGTGTAGCCTTTTCACCCTCGCAGATGGACATTTTTCCTTTTGCACAACACGTGCAGCAATGTTCAACAGCAGACAATCTTTCGTCTTTGACCCCTGAGGACCATACATGCCACAATCACGTTTGATTTTTTTTCCCCCCCCCCCCCACCCCATTTAACAATTTGCAGATGGTTGAAAACAGATGAGACAAAGGAAACAATAAAGGGAACCTGGCAGCATCAAAATGGCATCCATATGGAAGATTTAGCAAGCTCATTCAGTGTGCTGGACTTTTTGACTTACTGTTGTAAATTTGATTGATGGAAGGTTTTTATCATGATTATTCAGTTCCACACGCTCTATGGGATGTGGTCTGGCGGCCTTTGTTTTGCCTTCTTTGCTGGCTTTCACTGCTCCTTTAATTGTAAAATAAAAAAAGACTTGCTATGAAATTATAAATGACCACCTTTTTACTGTAGATTATTGCTGTATTTTGTTCCATAATGTACATTTGGTGCATTTTAAACTGTTTTTAACTGAAAGGGGACAAGAATTAGGGAACAGACTGTAGTTATGACTGCTGTAGTGTGTTTAATATTGCTAAAAGCGTTTCCCCAAACAAAGAAACGGATTGTATAAATAGGATTAATTTTAAATGTGAACAATGAGATGTCGATCCTTGCTGAATAATGGAACACCCATGCAGTCATTTTAAACAGCACTAATAAAGGTGCCGACTTTACTCTTAAATCATGACACATCTGGATTGGATTTTTCCCGTTCACTAAAAGCAGGTTTCTGTTCATCTCAGGCGCACCGTGCCGTACGGCATGTCCAGCTACAGAGGACCTCAGAGGAGGAGACGTGCTGCTGATGGACGAGTGTCTCAAAGAGACTGGACCACAGCACCTCGCTGTGTTTGTGCTGGGACTGAGACGGACCCGGATTGTTGGGTCTTTTGTCAGTTAAGGTAAACTGCTTCTCTGCATTCAAATATGAATGTCTTACAGTTATGTCAAGATGTTTTGAGCAGTTTATGACAAATAAATCTACTACTAAACATAGATAGAAAATACTTAAGATTGAATAAAACTGAACCATTCATGTAGCTTTAAACTGGTGCTTTTCAAATAGTGTGCCCCCCTGAGGTAGGGGGTGCCAAAGAGTTCTTAAAAAATTTTTTTTTTAAGAATTCATTGGCCTCAAAAAAGTAGTACCATGGAAATCAAGATATGTATCTTGAAGTAAAAAAATGTTCATTTAGTAGAAAATAGATATGAAATCAATTAAAACATTTTAATTAATGATGCAATGCAGCAAAATAAACCAGTTTAAAAGATAAAAGATAACTAGATAGTGCATAGCCGTGACATAATGACCCTCGCGTGCACAGATGCAGCAGAACTCAGAAGTCTTTATTCCTAATAAATGTCATGCTGCTAGGTGCATCCTAAAATTGTAGTGGTTTGGGTGGGGGTCTTTTTTTATGGGGGGTGGCATTGGTTGACCTGACGGATAGCCCCTCATCAGAGCTAAACAACCAGCGAAAATCTGAAGCTCCTATGTTTAATAGTTTTTGAGCTATAACCATTTTTGTATGTCCAGAT